TTCCCATTCATACATTATCGTGGTATGCTTCCCATCCATACATTATCATGGTATGCTTCGTGGTCCATACATTATCATTATGGTATGCTTCCCATTCATACATTATCGTGGTATGCTTCCCATCCATACATTATCGTGGTATGCTTCCATCCATACATTATCGTGGTATGCTTCCCGTACATACATTATCGTGGTATGCTTCCCATTCATACATTATCGTGGTATGCTTCCCATCCATACATTATCGTGGTATGCTTCCCATCCATACATTATCGTGGTATGCTTCCCATCAATACATTATCGTGGTATGCTTCCCATCCATACATTATCGTGGTATGTTTCCCGTCCATACATTATCGTGGTACATACCATCATTGGTATGCTTCCCATCCATACATTATCGTGGTATGTTTCCCATTCATACATTATCGTGGTATGCTTCCCGTCCATACATTATCGTGGTATGCTTCCCGTTCATACATTATCGTGGTATGTTTCCCATTCATACATTATCGTGGTATGCTTCCCGTCCATACATTATCGTGGTATGCTTCCCGTTCATACATTATCGTGGTATGTTTCCCATCCATACATTATCGTGGTATGCTTCCCATCCATACATTATCGTGGTATGCTTCCCATTCATACATTATCGTGGTATGCTTCCCGTTCATACATTATCGTGGTATGTTTCCCGTTCATACATTATCGTGGTATGTTTCCCGTTCATACATTATCGTGGTATGTTTCCCGTTCATACATTATCGTGGTATGTTTCCCATCCATACATTATCGTGGTATGTTTCTTCATACATTATCGCTTCCCGTTCACATTATCGTGGTATGCTTCCCATCATACATTATCGTGGTATGCTTCCCGTCCATACATTATCGTGGTATGCTTCCCATCCATACATTATCGTGGTATGTTTCCCGTTCATACATTATCGTGGTATGTTTCCCTTCCATACATTATCGTGGTATGCTTCCCGTCCATACATTATCGTGGTATGCTTCCCATCCATACATTATCGTGGTATGCTTCCCGTACATACATTATCGTGGTATGTTTCCCATTCATACATTATCGTGGTATGTTTCCCGTCCATACATTATCGTGGTATGTTTCCCGTTCATACATTATCGTGGTATGCTTCCCATCCATACATTATCGTGGTATGCTTCCCATCCATACATTATCGTGGTATGCTTCCCGTCCATACATTATCGTGGTATGCTTCCCGTTCATACATTATCGTGGTATGCTTCCCATTCATACATTATCGTGGTATGTTTCCCGTTCATACATTATCGTGGTATGTTTCCCCCATCGTGGTATGTTTCCCATTCATACATTATCGTGGTATGCTTCCCGTTCATACATTATCGTGGTATGCTTCCCATTCATACATTATCGTGGTATGTTTCCCGTTCATACATTATCGTGGTATGCTTCCCGTTCATACATTATCGTGGTATGTTTCCCATTCATACATTATCGTGGTATGCTTCCCATTCATACATTATCGTGGTATGCTTCCCGTTCATACATTATCGTGGTATGCTTCCCGTTCATACATTATCGTGGTATGTTTCCGTTCATACATTATCGTGGTATGCTTCCCTTCCATACATTATCGTGGTATGTTTCCCGTTCATACATTATCGTGGTATGTTTCCCATTCATACATTATCGTGGTATGTTTCCCGTTCATACATTATCGTGGTATGCTTCCCGTTCATACATTATCGTGGTATGTTTCCCGTTCATACATTATCGTGGTATGCTTCCCATTCATACATTATCGTGGTATGTTTCCCGTTCATACATTATTGTGGTTTGTCACATGACATGTATGTATGTGCATGTCATGTGACCTCATTTCCTCACGTGTGTATAATTACACCAGGGGCAAATGTGCATGTGGTCTGAAGCAAGTGCAAAGGTAAATTTACATATTTGCAAATGTGTACGGTTTGTAAATATTGTTATGTGAACGCTTGCATAATGCAAACAGATTGTTGCACAATTGTTACACATCATAGGAAACTATCTAGACACTCATTTTATAAAGTACTTCACGTCTAATACTTGTCATATAAGCAAAGAGGCATTCCATGTTGAAGTTCATTAACAGACATGAATTTCCAGACATGTGTCTAAGCTTGCTATACATACCTGACTTATGCAAACTATGTTATTTCATGTGAATGCGTAGTAACATGTTCACATACACACGAATTTGCCAAACTTAGTCATGACAGCAAATATAACCGAGTACCGGAGTGGAGCCTTTGTCATTCTTCAGTCAGACAACGTAAATGTTTGCACAGTGAATAATGACACAACTGACGACGACACAGGGTTTCCTGTGATCAACGTCGGAATGATGGACTCGAGAGTTGATTCTTTATGTCCGTGTTTAATGACGCGGGGATCGCTTGAAAACATATCCAGTAGCTTCTGAAAAAAAGCTTCCAGTGAGGCAAGTGTGATGTCATCAAACGAGACCTCGGCCCACGATAAGCCAACATCTCTACACATGAGGTATCGCATTGCTTTACCACATAAAGAGGTGCCTTTATTTGTAAGGCAAGGTCACACTGTACTAACCGTTAAGGTTGACGAAACTGACATGTCAGTGTTTAGGTAAATATCTGTGTGAGAAATACCCGTGCTAAATGCTCCTGATAAAGACTAGATAACAATCTTAAGTCTCGATGTATAAAAGGTCATCCACCACGTAGTCCGTCAGACAGATCAACATACAATAGAGGCATGGATCACACCAAACTGGCTTCAACTGCGGGTATCACTTGGTTGAGATCAAGCTATATGTCGTAATGGATATTGCTGTAATGAAACTACACCAGAATTCTCTACAGACCACTGTGACGTCATCAGTTACTAGGGACGCCCAAATCGAACACCACCAGTAATCTCTACCCTTGAAGCTGTAATTGTTACACTCAGGACACTAGTTTACTCTTTACACACTGACAAAGTTTGAAGAATGAAGAGAGATGAAAAATATAATTCTACTTCACTTGGTATCCTGCGTGTAAACGCTCGACAACAATCCCTATCTGGATATTATCCCTTATTGCATATAATATGTTCTATACTGTTATTCTTTGACACACCAACAATAGAAAGCCTTTTGAACAAGTACGACACCTGTTTCCACCTAATATTGTTGGCCTCAATACCTAGTTTGGTATGCACTGAGAGAGGTTTTTTTATCAGGCAAGGCTACATAACGGCATCTGTGATGGAGTAGTTCTGAGGCTAACCACGAAGAACTGCCTTGCTGGAGCAATTTTTCAACGTAATCTTCTCCTATGTCCATACACTTCGGCCAGCGGTGCTCTTGGTGGTGTAAACGGATCTCCACAGCAGAAAAGACGTAATACCCATTTATGACAATTAGGAAGGTTAGGAAGAGATGGAAATCTGACAGTTCCGAATAAGATAAATAGGGTGGTCAGCGAGTCGAAATCCTGGTCAAGCATTGCCACCAAGGCTACAAAAACCTTGAATATTGTCACTCCGTATCTTAAGCAGATTTGCTTTTACAATTACTGGGATGTAAAAGCCGAAGAAACCGAAGCCATCGTGTTACAAGCTGATGGAGCAGACTTCTTCGTCGGAGGAAACGTTAGTTGTTTCGGCTGCTTTGACAGCCGTTTTGTCTGAGGCTTATAGTGGAGGACTCAAAACACAAAGGATACAAAATCTTGGTCTGCTTGGTGATTCTCACAACAGAAGATGACCCTTGAGTGGTTGTGGTCAGTCATCGGAAGCCATGGAACCCGACCTGCTTAAGTCATTGTCATGCCCAGGTCATTTTCCAGAATGTTCTAAACTCTCTCATGACAGATGCCTACAGTGCCGGCCATGTGATAAGTCATCGATCATCCATAATCACTTGTACCAATATTTCTCTTCTTGAAGGTGGATCTGAGTCGGTGCAAACAGCGGCAAAGGTTATAGTAACATCCCACAAAGATGTCTGTTGGATCTCTCTCTGTTAGAAACAGTTCATGACGACGCTATAATCATTTTGTCTGTTGTCATCAACAGGGATATACTTCGTCATTTTGATGCTTGCATGAGGTGTTACCTTGTGTAATGCTTTCAATCGCAGCCTGCAAATATGGAAAGCAGAACACTTGATACCTGTAATTTCTTAAATTTAATTTCTGTACTGTACATATACTCTTTAGCCACCCATCGCATGTTAAATGTTGCATGTTCTCCAGATGTTAGAAAGACAGTTCTGGGTGGAGATTTTAGATATCATAAATACTAGACATAAACACATTGTGGACCCACAGCAGTGTCAGAAAAAGCCCCGTCACAAGTTAAGATCCAGAGCCAGGAAGTCACGCCATGCTGTGTGTACCTGTGCCTTGATCCAGGTGTCCATAACATACAAAGGCCCTCTCATGTAGCTGTCCAAACACTTCAACTGACGTATTCGTGTATGTTCACAGCAGTTTGATCAAGACTGAATTGAACAAATACTGCGCTGTTTAATACACCACTGTTTAATTTACCAACGGCAGTCTAACGAAAGAACCGAAATGTGTAAAGGGCTCCGTTTGCCTGTCATCATAACCTGAGTATTGCATAGTTGAAACGTTTTAAGGGACTGTTTGCTGTAAACATAACTAAAACCCCACGAAATCTATTAAAATATAACCTGTTCGTAACACAATCTATTTATTATATTGATATCATTAAGGCCATAATGCATGTTGTTTGGAAATATTTAATTTACTTTTCTGACATTTTAGGAAGTTTAATCAATAATATAATTATTTATTCACTCAAATATGCCTTATTGAAATTAACCAGTGGATTATTTTAGTTGTTATTATTTGTTATTTTGATTGTATAAGAAGTGATAAAATGAGCATCTGTACACGGATATAACAAACATTATGACACAAAGCTAACATACCTACTGTGGGGATTACCACATACACCAGTAGTGAGACTGACAGTCTAACAGGTACACGCATGTTGTTAGCATGTCCACTTTCAATTCGAACAAGCTAGAGGCTTGACTTTCAAGCTGTATCTTTTGAATAACAAAGACACGTTAAACATAAGATATTCTCTAACCATCAGTTACAACAGGAGCAAACAGCACTGCGTTCCAGTTGATCGAGCAGCCTGCAGAAAGGGATCCGTGTAGATTACTGAGATAGAGCGTCTCAGTCAGGAGACATAGTCAGCTACATTGTGCTTGCACAACAAGGCTAGTTATACAGACATGGCAAGGGGCACTACTGCACTGGAACAGGTATGTGTATCATGATAACATGTCTAGTTCAATACTGTTGAATTATATTTGGCCACCAATATGAAGAACCCGCCCAAAACAAGTTATACAGAATTCCACTTTCGTGAATATCACATGAAAACAGAAGTTGGAGAGAAATTTTATCCGTATGAGTGTGTTAATGTGAGACCACCTAAGTACTATTAGATATTATGTAATTCTGCTGATTTGTACCCCATGTCCCAACGTTTGTGCCCTACAAGGGGACATATGATTAATTCCCAAAGGTTTGACACAAAAGTAACTGTCGCCATGACTCAGAAACACACAACTCAAAACATAATCTCATATTTCTTACATGGCTGGAGGTGAACTATTTATGATCTCCCAGAATGTGTTATATTTCATACTAGTTAAGAATAACCCAATGCAGCGTCACTGAATATTTGCATTCCAATTTGAAAATTCTATTTAATATATGATTATTTTCATTTACAATTAGATATGTACATAAATGTGAAAGCAACAGAACGTCAGACGGATGGTTTTCATTATAACTGTTACATTCACTGTATATATATACAAACCAAGCTACTCTGGTTTACCTTGGTAAGAAGTTTCAAGAGATGTACATATACATCTACCCAGATTATAATGACCCTGATTATAGCGCTAAACTGGTTATAACACCCAAGATTGCCAGAACGTATTTCAGTCCATTCAAATTCCCTGACTACAATGCCACGCTGGTTGTAACGCCATGCCATCTCAGAACGTATGTTGCCATTCCCCCTGGCTACAATGCCACACTGGTTGTACCGCCACGCCATCTCAGAACGTATGTTCTCATTCCCTGGCTACAAAGTCAACTTCCTTTTGTCAAATAGTCAACTTCAGCAATCCATCTGCTGTGCTTAGGTGATTAACAATAGATATTTTAGTTAAATGAATTGTTTCATCTTTCCTTAAACAAAGTAAGGATTAAACCTTTGTATCTGTGTTACTGATAAAGTCGTATGTTTTATGAATGAAGGCCTCTCTCCTATACACTCTTGGCATTGTAAAAAACCGTACATGAATGATTATCCTCGTGCTTAGTGTTACTTTTATGTTTAGTATAAATTAGGTAGTATTTAAAGTAAAAACAGATTGTTCATGGTAATGATTCCATCCCCTGCATGAACGACCCCACATTACAGAACATATTTCCATTAATCCTTCAATCCAGTCTACCTCGTAAGATCACTTGATTTTACTGTCGTGATGACATTATAAAAATACAGTTACAGATACAGATACAGTTACAGATACAGATACAAATACAGTTACAGATACAGATACAGATACAGATATAGTTACTGATACAGTTACAGATACAGTTACAGTTACAGATACAGATACAGTTACAGATACATCTACAGCTACAGATATAGTTACAGTTACAGATAGAGATACAGTTACAGATGCAGATACAGATACAGTTACAGTTACATATACATATACAGATACAGATACAGATACAGCTACAGACACAGTTACAGATACAGTTACAGATACAGTTACAGATACAGTTACAGATACAGATACAGATACAGTTACAGATACAGATACAGTTACAGATACAGATACAGTTAGTTTTACAGATGCAGATACAGATACAGTTACATACACAGTTACAGATACTGTTACGGTTACATATTCAGTTACAGTGACAGTTACAAATACAGACAGTTACATATACAGTTACAGTTACAGATACAGTTACAGACACAGATACAGTTACAGACAGATACAGATATAGTTACGGTTACATATACATTTACAGATACAGTTACAGTTACAGATACACTTGCAGTTACAGTTACAGATACAGATATAGTTACAGTTACAGATACAGATACAGATACAGTTACAGATACATATTCAAGTACAGTTACGGTTACAGATACAGTTACAGATACAGTTACAGTTACAGATACAGTTACAGATATAGATACAGTTACAGATTCAGTTACAGATACAGATACAGTTACAGATACGGTTACAGATACAGATACAGATACAGATATAGTTACAGTTACAGATACAGATACAGATACAGTTACAGATACATATTCAAGTACAGTTACGGTTACAGATACAGATACAGGTACAGTTACAGATACAGTTACAGATACAGATACAGATACAGTTACAGATATAGATACAGTTACAGATTCAGTTACAGATACAGATACAGTTACAGATACGGTTACAGATACAGATACAGTTACTTATACAGTTACAGATAGATACAGTTACAGATACAGATACAATTGCAGATACAGATGCAGATACAGATACAGTTACAGTTACAGATACAGATACAGATACAGATATAGATACAGTTACAGATTCAGTTACAGTTACAGATACAGATACAGGTACACTTACAGATACAGTTACAGTTACAGTTACAGATACAGTTATAGATACAAATACAGTTACAGGTACAGATACAGATACAGTTACAGATTCAGTTACAGTTACAGTTACAGATACAGATACAGATACAGATACAGATACAGATACAGATACAGATACAGATACAGGTACACAGATATAGTTACAGATACAGTTACAGAGACAGTTATAGATACAGTTACAGATAGATACAGTTACAGATACAGATACAGATACAGTTACAGATACAGTTATAGATACAGATACAGTTACAGGCACAGATATAGATACAGTTACAGATTCAGTTACAGTTACAGTTACAGATACAGATACAGGTACACTTACAGATACAGTTACAGTTACAGATACAGTTACAGATACAGATACAGTTACAGATACAGTTATAGATACAAATACAGTTACAGGTACAGATATAGATACAGTTACAGATTCAGTTACAGTTACAGTTACAGTTACAGATGCAGTTACAGTTACAGATACAGTTACAGATACAGATACAGTTACAGATACAGTTATAGATACAGATACAGTTACAGGCACAGATATAGATACAGTTACAGATTCAGTTACAGTTACAGTTACAGATACAGATACAGTTACAGATACAGTTACAGATACAGTTACAGTTACAGTTACAGATACAGTTACAGATACAGATACAGTTACAGATACAGTTATAGATACAAATACAGTTACAGGTACAGATATAGATACAGTTACAGATTCAGTTACAGTTACAGATACAGATACAGGTACAGTTACAGGTACTGATACAGATACAGATACAGATACAGATACAGATATAGTTACAGATACAGATACAGTTAGAGATACAGTTTCAGTTACAGATACAGATACAGATACAGTTACAGGCACAGATACAGTTACAGATACAGTTATAGATACAGATATAGTTACAGTTACAGTTACAGTTACAGATACAGATACAGTTACTGACTGACTGACTGACTGAGTTTAATTTTACGCCGCTTTTTAGCAATATTCCAGCAATATCACGGCGGGGGACACCAGAAATGGGCTTAACACATTGTGCCCATGAGATACAGTTACAGATACAGATACAGATACAGATACAGATACAGTTACAGTTACAGATACAGATACAGTTACAGTTACAGTTACAGATAGATATAGTTACAGATACAGATACAGTTATAGATACAGATACAGTTACAGGCACAGATATAGATACAGTTACAGATTCAGTTACAGTTACAGATACAGGTACAGTTACAGATACAGGTACAGTTACAGATACAGTTACAGATACAGATACAGTTACAGATACAGTTATAGATACAGATACAGTTACAGTTACAGATATAGATACAGTTACAGATTCAGTTACAGTTACAGATACAGATACAGGTATAGTTACAGATACAGATACAGATACAGTTACAGATACAGATGCAGATACAGATACAGATACAGATACAGTTACATGCACAGTTACAGATACTGTTACGGTTACATATTCAGTTACAGTGACAGTTACAGATACAGACACAGTTACATATACAGTTACAGTTACAGACACAGTTACAGACACAGATACAGTTACAGACACAGATACAGATATAGTTACAGTTACAGATACAGATACAGTTACAGATACATATTCAAGTACAGTTACGGTTGCAGAATACAGTTACAGTTACAGTTACAGATACAGTTACAGTTACAGATACAGTTACAGATACAGATACAGTTATAGATACAGTTATAGATACAGATACAGTTACAGGTACAAATATAGATACAGTTACAGATTCAGTTACAGATACAGATACAGGTACAGTTACAGCTACAGATATAGTTACAGTTTCAGATACAGTTACTGATACAGTTACAGATGCAGATACAGATACAGATACAGATTCAGTTACAGTTACAGATACAGACAGAGATATAGTTACAGATACAGATACAAATACAGATACAGTTACAGATACAGATACAGATACAGTTAGAGATACAGATTCAGTTACAGATACAGATACAGATACAAACACAGATACAGAAACAGTTACAGACACAGATACAGTTACAGATACAGTTACAGATGCAGATACAGTTACAGATACAGTTGTAGATACAGATGCAGTTACAGGTACAGATACAGTTACAGATACAGATACAGGTAGAGTTACAGCTACAGATATAGTTACAGTTTCAGATACAGTTACTGATACAGTTACAGATACAGATACAGATACAGATTCAGTTACAGTTACAGATACAGATACAGATATAGTTACAGACACAGATACAGTTACTGATACAGATACAGTTACAGATACAGATACTTTTACAGATACTTTTACAGATACTTTTACAGATACAGATACAGTTACAGATACTTTTACAGATACTTTTACAGTTACAGTTACAGATACAGATACAGTTACAGATACAGATACTTTTACAGATACTTTTACAGATACAGATACAGATACAGTTACAGATACAGTTACAGATACAGATACAGATACAGTTCCAGATACAGTTCCAGATACAGATACAGTTACAGTTACAGTTACAGTTCCAGATACAGATACAGTTACAGTTACCGATGCAGTTACAGTTACAGTTACAGTTACAGATACTTTTACAGTTACAGTTACAGATACAGATACAGTTACAGATACAGATACTTTTACAGATACTTTTACAGTTACAGTTACAGTTACAGTTACAGATACAGTTACAGATACTTTTACAGTTACAGTTACAGATACAGATACAGTTACAGATACAGATAATTTTACAGATACTTTTACAGATTACAGATACAGTTACAGATACAGTTACAGATACAGATACAGTTACAGTTACAGTTACAGTTACAGATACAGATACAGATACAGATACAGATACAGATACAGATACAGATACAGTTACAGTTACAGTTACAGATACAGATACAGATACAGTTACAGTTACCGATGCAGTTACAGATACAGTTACAGATACAGATACTTTTACAGATACTTTTACAGTTACAGATACTTTTACAGATACTTTTACAGTTACAGTTACAGATACAGATACAGTTACAGATACAGATACTTTTACAGATACTTTTACAGATACAGATACAGTTACAGATACAGTTACAGATACAGATACAGTTACAGATACAGATACAGATACAGATACAGTTACAGTTACAGTTACAGTTCCAGATAAAGATACAGATACAGTTCCAGATACAGATACAGTTACAGTTACAGTTACAGTTCCAGATACAGATACAGTTACAGTTACCGATGCAGTTACAAAGGTTCAGTAGAAATTATCGAAGTGAAAGCAAATTTATTCTGTAGCCTATTGAGAAATGAGAAATGTTGTACTTCGTAGATAACCTGTATGAGATAAACATGCCGATATATTCCTTTATGAAGCCGAGTCGATATATCAGCTTTTCGTAGACATGTGGTATAACACTATAGCGCTTCATAAATACATGCTCATGTTCTAACCGTAATTGTTAAATGTATTCCGCTTTCAGCAAGGATTACTTATGATGGCTGTCTGATACTGCCTCTACTCTAAACAAGCTGCTGTTCCCCTTTCTCAGAAATTAGTTAGATAACCTAAGACATTTCTGCTTAAAGTTATCTGTAAATGGACATTAAAACATATTTAACTGTGTTTGTATACAAACAAAGGTGTGTTGCATAAGTTTTAGTCCATGTCTATATATAAATATTATTAAAACTTATCATGCATGCTTATTATAAACTTGCTTCGTAGGTTTCTCGGTACAATCATTGATTTTTGTTCAAGCGCATCCTGGGTATCAACAAGCATGGGTATTCGCAACGAAATGATTTATTCATGCCCTTATGCTAGGCGTGTCCTTGGCTCTGCCAATCTAAAACTGCGTACACGCACTGCTGCCTCTTCACCAGGAAGCAGAGACCATAATACCGAGAAGTCATCTCGTCACTTCATTCCACCCGCTTATAAGGGCATGCCAAACATACTCTCGTTCAGTACACTATGCTTCATACCACATGGTGACCTATGATACCATGCAGCTTACCAACTAAAAAGAGAAGGAAGACATTTGCATGTATGACAATACAGAAAGTTTGAATAGTATTATGTCTTTGTGTGAATCTGAAAATAGATTTCAACTGTGTGCTGTATGTCGCATATCTCTACTTCAGTGTCATACAACTTCCTGGTCCCAGAGCATCCACTGCATCTAGAGTTACTCCTACCTACCACACCACACGTGTTGGCTGAATACCTTCACAATGGATGGACGGTCGAAGCCTACCCGCAAACCCTCCATGGAACCCTACTACACAGGGTACGTATCACCTTCAGGACAATACGTAGAATTCGTGGAATAACTTGTAAATTCATGGATACATACTGTAAAGAATCACTCGATTTTTATACGTTTCTGATTAAATAGTTTGTTTGTTTGTTTGTTGTGCAACGCCACCCTCAGCAATATTCCAGCAATATTGCGGCGGTCTGTAAATAATCGATTCTTGACCAGACAATCCAGTGATCTACAGCATGAACATCTACGCAGTTGTGATACGATGTCATGTGTCAACCAAGTCAGCGAACCTGACCACCCGATCCCGTTCTTCGCCTCGTAGGACAAGCATGGGTTGCTGAAGGATACTAACCCAGACCTTCACGGGTTCTGACTGAATATCTTGACACTTTAATAATCCATCCTAAAATAGTAATAACCTG